ACATTTGATAATACCTATCATGTGGGCTGGCCAGATCTCACCCTCTGTTCAAGCAGTATCGCAAACCTAGTGCAAGACTGGACTGTGGTCGATGATGAGAGCTGCTCCGATCACAAATACCTTCACTTTCTCATAAACTGTGACACGAAAATCACAGTCCTACGTAGGTACAGGCTTCCAGGCAACAAGATCCGCCCCCTCATCGTCGCTCCTTCACACGCATCTTAAGTAATGAGGAAAACAACCTTGCGCTTCACAACAGCCCAGAAGGCATGGAGATTTTCACAGACCGACTACTTGGAAACCTTAAAGCAGCCTGTAGTGAACTACTCCCCACACGCGCAGCGAAAGAAAATACAAGGAGTTAAGTGGTGGACGAAAGAGCTCAGACAACAACGGCAAAAATGCAGAGCTATCAGACGCCGCATACGTTCCACCACCAATGAAGACAGAAAATCCAACTATTGGCGACATTCCGCAAGGAGCGAGCTCTTTACAAAAACAACAACATACTAGCGGCCAAAATTACCAGTTGGAGGAAATTTTGCACCGAAAACAGCAATCCGTATGGAATCCTCCACAAGCTAGCCTCAAGTAAAATATATCAGCCAGCTCAAATCTTCATGCAGCCACCAAATACAAGCAACGACAATCCAGTACAAAATACAGCCACCACAATCCTCAACGAAGTCTTCCCCACAGACAACGCGGAGGAAGATACGCCAGCACAGAAAATTGTTCGCATGAATACCACCACATCCCACCGACTCCACATGATATACCATTTAGTGACAAGGAAGTCAAGCAAATTTTCCAACACCTACCCCTGAAAAAGGCCCCCGGTCCAGACGGCTTGGACTATAGCATCATCAAAGTTGCCTACAAAGCACGTCCCTCCTTCTTCTACAAATTCTTTAACCAACTGTTTGACAACCAAATATTCCCGCAGGCATTCAAGAAAGGACAAGTTGTCCTATTCCTGAAAAGAATAAAAGCCCGCAAGACCCGCGCTTTCTTTTCGCCCGATATGCCTTTTGCCAACCCTGGGCAAAATTTACGAGAAATTAATTGTTAACAGACTAAAATATCATCTCCATAGCAACAATCATCTCAGCCCCAGGCAGTATGGCTTTCGCACTGGTCTGTCCACTACGCATGCCCTCTGCAAAATTCGTGAAACAATTCAACGCAATAGCACCACAGGTTTCCATACAGCTTTCATATCCATTGACCTCCAGAGTGCGTTTGACACACTCTGGTGGCCAGCGATAAGACAGGCCCTCCGAGACGCACAGTGTCCATCCAACCCACCTCTTCAGCGTTTTTAGTAGTTATCTAGAGAATCGTAGTCTTCTCATAGCCATCAACAACGACACTACCTTCAAAGTGCAAGAAAGAGGATGTCCCCAAGGCTCTTGTGCTGGACCGATTCTCTGGAATTTAACATTCAACTCTGTACTGGATGCAAACTGGCCACGACATACAAGTGTCATCGCCTACGCAGACGACGCAGCTCTTCTTGTCAAAGGTCGCACTCGTGCGGAGCTCGAGAAAAACGGCACCGAAGTCTGCTCCCTCCTCGCCAATATCTGCAGCAACTTAAAGCTTACAATCTCTACCCCGCAAAGTCATCAGCAATAATAATACCCAAAGCAGGCACGAATCCAACGCGCCGCCCCTGCATCAAACTACAAGGAGCCAACATAAAGATTGTCCAAACGCTAAAATACCTAGGTGTAATATGGGATAAAAAACTAACCTGGATCCCTCACATCCAAGAACTAAAAAACAAAACATCAGCTATTGCCAGAAAGGCCCGCGCCTTCCAAGGTAAAAACTGGGGTCAGAATCATCATATTCAGAAGATCCTCTACCATGTGGTAGCTGAAAAAATAGTCTTGTATGCTGCTGCCGTATGGGCCCAACCGATGGGAGGACGAAAGATCAAACATCTTACATCTCTTCAACGACCATTCGCCCTGAATCTCTGTAAAGCGTACCGCACCACAGCCACCAGCTCAGCGACAGTCCTTGCAGGGCTCATTCCACTCCACATACGGGCAGAACAAGAGGCAGTGTACACCACCCTCATATACCTCCGCAAAGATGCAACATTTGGCAACATAACATACAGCCCTCTGCAATTTCAAAGCCCAGGTAACACTCTTCACACTCATCCTGCACGTAAAGGCACAGGAATAAGAATTAACATCTCACGGATACAGCCACTGTCAATGACGCGAGTTTCAAGGGATACGCAAATATACACCGACGGCTCTAAGCAGGAAGATGGAGTAGGCAGCGCCTTTGCACACTATGACAAAGGAAGAATCATCCATGTATGGAAAGGACGCCTTGACTTAAACAACAGTGTGTTCCAGGCGGAGGTGCAAGCAATTATAACCGCGGTAGATTACATTTTCAATAATAATATAGAACGGGCGAAAATTTTCACTGACAGTATGTCAACGCTTCTAGCACTAGATAATCACAACCACACCACCTCGCCCTTGATCATCAAATTACAACAACTTTTACAGCGCAACCCGCAGAAACATCTCTCCTTAACATGGATCAAGGCACATGCAGAAAATGAGGGGAATGAAGCAGCTGATAGCCTGGCCAAGCAAGCAGCCACTGATCCAGAAGCTGAAAAAATCACAATCCCAGCCCCTCCTTCCTACCTCAAAGGGCTATTACGGGGTCAAGGCCTAAATCTTTGGCAGGAAGACTGGACGCACACTGCACAACTGGAAGACGTACATACAGCTACTCTCCGAAAGTCAGCACTGAACGCAACATTGCAATAGCTCCTCTTACGGCTTATATTACGGGACACGGCCCATTCCCGACCTACTTCAATAGACATGGCATAACAACCACGGACATATGCGCCTGCGGAGCGGAAGGCTCCCCAGACCACTATGTTTTTGAATGCCATCTGACAGCAGGAAATCACCTCCCTCTTCCTATCAACAATAGTGAAGCTTATCACCGCTTCCTTATAAAGCACAAACCGGCAGTAAATACAATTTGCAAAGTTGTTAACAAGCTCAAGAGAATGGGCCAAGATTTGTGCTCTCCTCATTAACCAAAACTCTCAAGACATGATACACTAACTAAGTCAGCATGCAGTTCCACATTCTCAGACACATAAGACTACTCCTAAAATTTACATAAGTCCCTATTACAGACACCTTTCAAATAATGCACAATCAAATGTATTTAACATTTCCTCTTCTGTATATGCATAATACTATTTTTTTATTTTTATTTTTATTTATTTATTTATTTATTTATTTTTTATTTTTATTTTTTTTTCCCTATGAGCGTGTATTTTGATCCTATTATTTTGTAACTGTATTTTTGTATCTGTATATTTAATTTGTATTTTATTAGAATTTTATTGTGAATGTGCAAAATTACCATAGCAAATTGCAACAACAAATGTCAAAACGGTAAAACGAATGCAATCTGCCCTTGTATGGCCATGTAAATGATCTTGTTAACATCCTAAAAAGCTCCCGAGGCGGCCTCTTGAGGCCCCAGGGAGTTGTTCCTGGTTAGTGGAGGGCGCGGGACACATGCCTGTTTACCTCTGTTAGACATCAGGCGTCCCCGTCCTCCGTTACCAACCAACCAACCAACCAACCAACAGAAAATCCACTGGCAACGCACCGTACCACTTCATCCTGAAAAGGTCACAGTATGGTGTGGTTTTACGGCATCATTCATCCTACAACCATATTTTTTCGAGCAGACGGGTGCTTCCGGTCCTGTTACCGCAACCGTCACTGGTCAGAGGTATGCGTCTCTTTTGCGCAACCACGTGATTCCAGCTCTGCAACAGCGTGGATGTGTGGATGAAATCATTTTTATGCAAGATGGCGCTCCTCCGCACATTGCACATCCCGTGAAGCAGCTGCTGAAGCGCCATTTCGGAAATGCTCGAATTATCAGCCGTCATTTCCCTACAGCCTGGCCGTCCCGATCGCCTGATCTTACTCCGTGTGATTTCTGGCTGTGGGGATATCTGAAGGATGTTATGTTCCGTGCTCCAATTGCAAATTCAGCGGAATTAAAGGCACGCATTTCGCAACACATTCTGAACATCACCCCGGAGACACTGCGATCCGTTGTGGAACATGCTGTTTTTCGCTTTCAACTTGTTGCACACAACGGTGGACACCATACTGAACATGTTTTGCGCCAGTCTCGCGACAGTTCCGAACTTCTTTCTTTGATGAATGGTTCTTATGCGGTATGTCGCCGCAAAACTCTTGAAACCGATTTGTCCCCTTTCGATGTGATATGTACAGTCATGCAAATAAAAGTATTCAACAATTTTAATTTATCAATGTGTTTTAATGTGTAACTTCACCTTAGCCGTTGTTTTACGAATAATTTCTCGTTTCTCGTCGTGATTCTGCCGCTTTCAGCGCCATCTGTTGCTAACTTTTGAAACTAAATTTTTTCTTCTGCCATACGCTTTCCGCCTTCTTCAATAATACTCCTTTCAAATTTCACATCATTTTCATCAGTGGTTCTTTTTTTATAGCGTTTTTAAACTTAAACTTTAATTATAATCACCCTGTATATTAGCAGAGGCGTAGCTAGAGTTTCCGGCGACCGCGGACGACTGAAGAATTTGCGCCGCTTTCTGTGTGCCAAGAATGGAAAACATTTCATTAAAAAATTTCGTAACATCAATTTGGATGCTGCGCCCGGGGACAGATGTCCCCTCTTGCCTCACCCTAGCTACGCCACTGTATATTAGACCATGAGCCGTGTTACATCATGCGACTATTATTTCCGATCGTAGGAGTTTAGAACGTCTAGAATAAAACATTTTAAAATATACATTCAATTTAAAATCTTTCCTCAAGAACAAGAAAGAAAAGTGCGTGACTTCTTCAATGAACCTTCTCTAAGAAAGTGTGTGAGATTAGGAAATTATTTCTTCTTTTCCAAATATTTTTTCTGTAGTGACAAAAGGTTGATTTTTTTTTTTTTTTTTTTTTTTTTTTTTTTGTTGTTGTTGTTTTAAAATTGTTGCCCCAACTTTTCTTAAAGACTTCTTATCGTGTCTAAAAGAAAAATAGCACTGAAGAAAAAAAACTTATTGCGAGGCTTACAAAAATTTGAATAGCAGCGATAAGGAACAGTCGAGATTTTTCAGAAAGATAATTATAAACGAAGTTACATCTTCAGATTCTGATTCGAATACTAATGAATGCAGTAATAAAAAATTTGGTGTAGTTACTACTTATCATATTTTATAAGAATTAGTTGTTTAGGAAGAAAGAAAAGTTGATACCGAAGAAAGCACAATTCAGTTTAGCGAACGGAATGAATGTAGCTGTCGGCAACAATCATTTTCGTTTCTTTCTTTCAACAATCATTTTGTCCAATACTTACTTTACCTCGTAAGTACTCAAAAAAATTGTCACCCGAATACGGATGACATGGCTTAATCAGAATATTCGCCGTCACCCGAATACGGGTGACACGGCAGTCAAAATGTTAAGTACACAAGACACAATGAAATAGGTCCAAAGAGTAGAATCCGCATCTAGTTCATGAGACTTGTTACAATACCAAAACAGAAAACTACACATTGGGTATGTGGATTTGGGCTATAAATAGAAAAACAAAAAAAGTGAAATAGTCACTAAATGGTAAACGTCTCTTTTCATTTACGATATCTACAGAAATAAAAAGTTAGAATGAAATTTTAATTTTTATGTGAAATAGTGATTACACCATTTAAATAATATGCATACATTTTTTGCATTATAGTATAAATTAAAACATAATTCAATTAAGAAATAGTTGGGTAAAGTATAAAACAAATTTTTGTTTTTAATATTTTTGGAATAAGTAACAGAATCTGGTATATTTTAATGTTATCTGAAGAATTTCATTGAATGTGCCCCGTTTTATCTAGTTAGAATATCTTACAGTGATTGGAATCTTTTCAAAATAAAACTTGAAACGTTTCATTCAAATCCGCTTAAATTTAGAGCTTAACAATAACGCCCTAATGTGGTAGTATCATAATGATATACATTCGTTCGTACACACAATATTCTTAATTCTTTTTTCTACATTCGAATCAAATCGGTATCATTCCTAGTGTACCAGCTTTTTGTTACATCTGCATCCCTCGCGGGATTCTTCTATCAGTGACTGCCACCCCCTTAATTCCCTCCTTCATCCAAAGAGAAGAAATGCAACTTCTCTTCGACGGATATCCAGGGGCTATATCTTCCCCTCTTTATATCTGTAGCCCCTAATGGTTAGAGAGAGCGCCGAAATGCTGATAGAAGAGGACGGTCGAGGAGGTATGAGAGGAGTATTGACTCTCGCAGACGATTCTCGTGAATCAATATTCGCCTGATTTTGATGCAGATGGATTGGGCGGTTCTGGCCTGGAGCGCCTGTGTTTACTTTTCATTTTTCTCTCGCAGCTGTGGAACATTTCAGATCAAGATACGAATTTCAAACATTTATTTGCACCGAATGGATCAAGACGAAATCGAGTACCTGGGGACTGTAATGGAGTTACAAGTCGCCAAATGTTTTGGTCTGCATCGATGCCAAAACAATGTCATCTCAATAAACAAGTTTGGCAAAGTACATGCAATTCCAGCAAAAGTACATGCATTCAACTCTCAATTAACCTGCGTCAAATTAATGGGACCCGATCTTTAAAATAAAAATTAAAAAAAAAAAAAATTCTGAACGTTTACAGATTTTATATTACGCCCAAAGGGGCGCTTTTTGTGATACCTTTATTTATTAAATATCATGTTCTTCGCACTTAAACCATAAAATTCAATTCAACAGCAATATCCCAAAATAATTTTAAAATGAGCATATCTTTAGAATTTCCGATATGTTTAGGTTTACAATCCTCTTTATGTTTTTGATGTTTTTTTTAGGTTTCTTTACAATACTCTTTTTGGTTTAAAATATTTAAATTTTAAATGAAAAGAATTAAACAGCACAATAATTATTAAAAAAATCTGAACGCTTTCAGATTCTATATTACGCCCGAAGGGGCGTTTTTTTAACGTTTTGTGTGTTACCTTTATTTATTAAATATCATGTTCTTTGCACCTAAATCATAAAACGCAGTTCAACAGCATTATCAGAAAATATTTTACACAGCATAGCTTTAGAATTTCCGATACACAATCACGCGCGCTGGAGACATTTTTTTTTTTTTTCCCTTCGTACAGTGTTGCCATTGCTCGATTTAAAATCGTCGAGTTTATTAATCAAAAATACGTTAAAGTTTTACAAAATATGAAATAGATAATAAAACAAATTCCAAATTCCAGTTCGGGCTTCCATATTCTAGTGCAGGACAACTTATTGAAAATTTGATGTCTCTATAGGTACCGTTGTTTTTTCGCAGCGCGAGAAACGTACATACATTCATACAGATTATTCATTATTTAATTTCTTTAAATATAATGCGGGGTTCTAATATTTGGTGGCAACAATTTGAGAAGTGAAGCGTCATTTATAGTGAACCAACGCAAAATGCCAAAACGAAATTAATAGCCCTTCTAGGCTACCTTCTTTCAGATAAATAGTAAAATTAAATAATAAAAAAACCGTTATGTTTGTTTATTCTGAAACAAGGATAACGTTAAAATTACAAGCCGTTTTCGTGTAAAAAAAAAAAGTGTCGAAGAAATAAAAAAAAAAAAAAAGAAAAAAAAAAAGAAAGAAAGAAAGAAAAAACAGTACATAGCAGTGATTTGCCTAAACTGTGCTCCCCATCTCACTCCCACCCCCCAAAAAAAACACTAAGCTTCCTATATTTTTATATTTCACTGAACATTATTTTTATATTTCACTGAACATTGTTCAAATTTTCTGTTGCAAATATTGTTTTTAATGTCATTTACAATACAATTTTCTGCATTTCTAATGATGCTTATTCATCCGTTAATTAAAATATTTTCGTATTTTCTTATTTTGAATACTGATTTAATTTACATAACCAAACAGAATTATTTCCCAGATTAAAGAGCTTGAAAATGAAGATATATTTTCTGTTAAGGAATTGTACAGATTATTTCTATTTCCTGTCCCACTTTTTAACTGTCATACAATCGAATAGATCGTGGAAATCATCTGTTACCCTTAATAACTGAAAGTTTACCTAACGCATCATCATATTTTCATTTGACGTTATTTTTTTATTTCCTCTTGAGGTTTTCCTTTTTCTTTTTCATTTTAATTTTATGATTCAAAACAATATTAATAATTTTAAAGGGCAGATACACTGAAGATATTACATTTTATCTGAACGTGTATGAGCAGTATTGAACAAACAGCAAATAACAGGGCAATCAGCCTAAGGGAAGAGATACCATACCTACACAGAGGAATTTCCAAGGAAACTTGGATATTACATATCATACAAAGCAAATTTCTAAGGAAGAGGAAATGTTATGATGAAAGGTAAGGTTAGGCAAAATTAAACTTTAAGCTAAAGATGATTTTGTAGAAGCATTTTATATACACAAAAAATGACGGACCCGTGATTCTCGATTAATGATAATTAATTAAAGAATTTAAACAGAGATAATTTCAAGCAGTTACTCATCTTTCTTTTTCTAATCTTTTTTAGACTATATTTTTCATAAAAAATTACCAGTAAACTTTACAAAATTACCAGTAAAGTTTTAGTTAATTAATAACAGTTATTAGTTAGCTATATAAGTTAAAATTTTTATTGATTGATATACGTAACATTAACTTTCTAGGATCCGTGATACTTTGCCGACAACCATTTAGTTGACAGCAGTTAGCCGGAGAGGACATTTAGCCAACACGGACATTTAACCAATAGGATACTTAGCCGACAGGACATTTCACAGACACGGACATTTAGCCGACAGGACATTTAACCTACACAGACATTTAGCCGACATGAAAATTTAGCCGACAGGACACTTAACTGGCACAGCCATATAGTCGACAGGTCATTTAACCGACAGGGACATTTATCTAACAGAATATTTAGCCGACAAGACATTTTAACTGATAGCATGTTTAATTGACAACACGTATATATAGAAAAAAAAAAAAAAATGCGACGATGTTTTAGTAAAAATTGTCCATATTTATCTGAAAAAAGGCTGTTTCCAGAGTACCCAAACAAAAGGTGTATGAAATAAGTACCATAATTTTTACTTTAACTCTTTAATGTAGAAAATGACTTTAATGTTAAAGAATTAAACACAAAAGATGGCGCAGATTTTGAAATCAATTTCAACTTTTTCAGCTGACGGCTGTCTCGTCGGCTAAGTGGTTGTCGGTAAAGTGCCTGTGATGGAATTTTCTATTCATTACCAGTTTTTGAATGCTTAAATTTTCTTTTTACTTTTTCAGAAAAATTCTATTAGCTAATTTAAAAAGATTTTATATACATGGTATAATATATAAAAGTAAAAATATTTCTCATTCCTTCTTGCGCTCATAAATCGTTATGCATTTACAACTTTTAAAACCTGAAAAACGTGTATCCACGATTGCGGCAATTTATTTGTGCTTTATTTTTACCACGATGTTTTCGACGACGCTGTTTTTAAAAACTGCGACGTTTTTTAACCGCTTTATTTTCGATGACGATTTTTAGAGTTGCGATGTTTTCCTTTTCCTTTCTTTTGTTGCTCGAAGTTTTTGGCCTTGTGTTATTCTCGCGGGGACATTTTCGATCGCTGTGTTTTTCTTGGGATATTTTTGAGGGACAGCCGGGAGTAAATACTCCTATATAATAAGGAAAGGGAATTTTCGTGAATTTATCTTCTGTTTTGAAACGAATTCTGGAACAGTTATGTTAATATTAAAGAAAAATCTGATGCGTACACCACATGACTTCCTTGTACGGAATATTAAATTATACGCATTTTTTCTTGCATTTTATTTAAACTTATTAGACTGAATTTAACCTACTTCGCCGACAGCGCATAAACCACAATAGAATATATGCATTCTTTAAAATTCACTTTGTTTACCATAGCGACACTCTGGCGTTAGGTTTACTTAACAGTATTATATTTCGTTCATATTATAACTCAGAATGCACAAAATTTATATCATTTAAAGAATTATCTAATCATTGCCACATGTTCTATTCAAATACTAATAATAAATCTAAGAACTGATGTATAAAAGAAATTAAGAAAACAAAACAAAAAATGAAACAGTTTTTTCACAGACGAATTGACAGTATTTCTCATTCAATTAATTTCAGTTTTCACTTTTTCGCGAGAAGGCAAAAATACATAAAAACTCAAAATATCTGTATTAAAATTTACGAAGTAAATCTTAAACCACTTATTTCCTCGAAAAAATTCCCGAAAGGATTAAGCATGAATTTAATTCGAAATAATAAAAGAAGGCGTTATCTTTGTTGTTGCAAAGCTAAGTTTTTCTAGATTGGCAACAACCCGCTACTCAGCTCTTTCAAATGTAAACAAGATCAATGGCCCCCATCAAATTAGGCTTAGCGGCACTTTAAACAATTTTAAAATTGTTGATAAGTTCTAAAAATATTGCATACAGATTTAATAAAGGCATAAAAGCCTCAACCGGAAGATAAAAACAACATAATTCAATCATTTTTAAAGCAAAAAATGTACAATTTGCAAACATATAAGAGTAAAGATCACTGAGCCGGGTAACAGAGTGGATATATTTATAAATATATTTATATACGTTTGGCACGGCCAATTGAAACCAAAATACGAGATGCACATCTACATGTTATAGTAGTCTTGTATACAAAATTTCAACGTTCTGAGGCTACTCGTTTTTGAGTTATGCGAGATACGTACATACGCACGTACGTACATACGTTCGTACAGACGCCACAAAAAATTCTCTTCAGAATTCATTTTAAAGCAGTTTGTTAGTTTTTTTGGAGGAAAAGAGTCTTTTATTTCTGTCCTTACGTACAGATATCACGCAAAATATCGTTAAATTGCATTCGAAAGCGGTCAAAGTGGATATTTTCGTTGAAATATGCTTGATGAAGCTTTTCGCGATTACAATACTTCCTTTTTACTTCGTACAAGGAAGTAAAAAGAACATTAAGAATATTAAAAGAGAAAGAAACGTGGATACAATGGCATAAATCAGTTGTTATGTGTCATATTTCTAAAACAAATAAATAAATAAAAACGCTTACTTCTGATGATTAAGTTCAACTTGATGTCATGGTTGGTGATATGAACACAGATCGCTCAATCTAACGCTAAAGGAAAAAAGAAAATATTTCAGTCATACAAAATATATATACAATATGAAATATAAAAATATACCACATATAAATAAAACATTTTCATTTTTATATCAGAGTTTCATGTGCAGAAAGTTCACAGACTTCGAAATATAAAAAGCGTTTACTGATATGTAAAATGTTAGGCAGGACACTACAGACAAAAGTGCTAAAATGCTGATATAATACAAAAATAATTCTTCAAATATAATAACATAAGGAAAATCACTTGAAGATTAATATTTATATTCAGAAAAATTCCACCACCCATAAGACTTAATTTTATCATCTAAAACTTAATTTTATCATCTGAGATTTTTAAACCAGGGTTCGTTATATAAAAATTATTAGAGGCCGCAGAAGCATTTTAAATTATTATCTTTATAAATAATTATGAAATAACTGTAATCTCTAAAAACATTTTGTGTGCTTTTTAAGATATTAGTTTACGGTGAAATACCTAAAGCCGATACATTATTTTTCAAAATAATTTTAGTTACGTTTGAGTACATTGTTTCTTAACAGTACCTTCCCCTTTTCCTTAATAAACTCGCTATATGTAATCATAAATAATGAATTTTCGAAGAACTGCTTCTTATTTAGAAGAGAGGTGACGAAAAATTTAATTTAATTCAAAAGTTTCAAAGGAAGAACCTTCCGAGAGGAAATTCTACTTTAAATCAAATAACAGTCTTTCAATGTGTGAAATCAAATTCTTAAAACTAAATTAATCGGATACACACACAAAAATATTTCCTAAAATTACACAAAAATATTTCCTAAATCAAAAAGAAACAAACAAAAAATGACTTGTGAAGAAAGAAAATAAAAATAAATTGTTATGCATTTTACGGAGTAATACTATTAAACACAGAAAAAACAACCAAACATTTTCTTCGTATAAATTGAGTAAATTTTCAACTTCTTGAAAGAGATTCTAAGATTATATTATGCTACTAGTCAAATGTTTTTTTTTTTTTTGTTAAATAAAAATGTGGCAGCAAGACAGGATATGATTTAAAATTTTGCCTTTAATTCTCCATGATCTGCTGTCTATTTCAGTCTTACTATATTCTTCTAAAAATTTATGTAAGTAAAAATAAAATTTATGATAATTAAAATAATAATCACTGATAAAAATACTTTGTCCAGATCCAAAAATAAAGTTAAAAATTCAATACAAATCTTGAAATGTAACTACTAGTTTCATAAAGTCATTAACAAACAAAACTTTAAAAAAAATATCGATTTCGCATTAAAAAACTTAGTTTCATAATTTAATGTTCACGTACTCGGTATTTGACACATATCAGAAGAAATATAACAAAAAGAGCAAAAAATACTTATCCAAAAAATAGTCAAAATGAAATGTTTTACATTATAAAGAAATATTATTTGCGTTATATTATAAAAAATATTATAAAGAAACTAAACAAAATTCAACGAGATTAATTATATTTACCATATTCTATAAATTATGTTTAAGTATTAAATTTCATATTACTTTTCTCATTGATTTAAATTAAAAATGTTGATGGAAGTTATTGTCATTATTTTATTTATTTTATTCTTTTCTTATTTTTGAATTACGATTCCTACATGGGAAAGTGCAAACAAAATGTACAGTTCTCTTATAATAGTACAAATATTATAATGCACAATTTTCTCTTTTCGCACAAAATGTACAATATTCTCTTTTTAAACAAAATGTAAAAATTTTCTCTTTTCTTAAACAAGATATCAATTTAATAGAATTTACAAAAAAAATTAAATATTATAATTTTAATTAGATTAATAAGTGGTTTTAAATTTTATAAAATTCCTCTGATATACATTTAAAATTTTAAATTTTAATTATTATTTATTACATTTCATACATTTACTTTGCCATACCTTTACTTAAAATTCCTACCTGCCTTCCTATGAGGTCCCTGTTTATTAAGTTCTAGAAATCAAGCCCTTCAGGTACACTTCAAATGATATTTCCTAATATACTAAACTTTTGAGTAAAAGTTACTGCTTTCTAAAATAGATGGCGCAGCTCTCAACAGCTCAGTCGGTTTTGTACAATCGATACCACCTGCCCAGCTGATTACCGTCGGCGAGCGTAAGTGACTCACAACATTCAAGGATGTTTGTCACGCTGCTTGGTATATACATACACGTTCGGCTCCACCTCCACTGCCATTTCCCGCGCTTCAGAAGTTCTGTCACTTTTTATATATTTTTCTTTTCTTTCTTTTATTACCAAATAATGCACAATATTATACGGTTAAAAAGATTCCCTTCTGCCGTTTTATGGATTGTATAGATTTTATGCACAAAGAGCGCAGTTGTTGAATGCAAGCTTCTCAAGAAGAAGGGCGGATATAAATCAATCATATTTCAAGAGTAGATGATATAAAATAAAAATTACTAAATACAGTAAAATTCCTATTACTTGTTCTTTTTCCACTTGCTATTTTTTCTAAATTACGTAAAAATAATTAACCTCCTCCCTAATTGAATGCTATAAAACTGCAATATAGTACATATTTGCGATACAAATGCAGCCTCAAACTCATACGAGCTAAATGCACGATCTGAAAAAAAATGCCGAAACAATTTTTTTTTTCCGAAGTCTTTTCATGAACAAAATAAAAAATATTTTAAAATAGCTATTAAAACATAAACAATAAAAAAAATTTTAAAAAAATCTGAAATTTTTCAGATTTTAAATTACGTCCAAAGGGGCGTTTTTTTAACGTTTTGAGTGTTACCTTTATTTATTAAATATCATGTTCTTTGCACTTAAACCATAAAATTCAGTTCAAGAGCAATATCGCAAAATAATGTTAAATTAAAGCATATCTTTAGAATTTCCGATATACACAGTCTCGCGAGCTGGAGATAAAAGTATTTTTTTCTATATAACGTTTGCCATTTCTCGCTTTTAAAGCATTGAGTTGTAAATCAAAAATTCTTTTAAAGTTTTACAAAAATATAAAATCTATAATAAAACAAATTCCAAATTTGGGATTTCAGATGCCCATATTCGCAGTAGGATTTCGTCATTCAAAATTCGATGGCTCTGTGTTACCATTGTTTTATCACAATGCGAGAAATAGACAATCATTTATGCAGATTTTTCATTATTTAATTCCTTCAAATATAATGCAGGACTCTAACATTTTGTGGCAACAGTTTGAAAAGTGAACCGACGTTTATGAGTCCGACGCAAAATGCCAAAACGAAAGCAATAGTCCTTCGGGACTGAAATCCCTTTGGACTAATAAATAATATTGCAAAGAGGGGTGGAATGCAAATGTATATTTATTTTCTATCTGTAACCTAAAGCTTCGTACCCGCAAGAGAATTTTGTTGGTTACACACCGTAATTCATGTACAAAGTTAAATAATAAATTTCAGACTGACATTTATTCTAAAACAATTCTTACAAGTTTGAGTAATCATTACATAACTTTCTTTCATTTAAATTATAGACAAATTACAAAACTTTCTAAGTTTTCGGAGAAAATTTTCCACGTGGTACAAAACTTGAGAATAAATAATGGCAACTTAGTCTGTTTCTCTTATTTGTTAAAAAATTGTCCTTCGATGCATAAACAAAAATGCATATGTCAGTACATAAATAATGATAAACTTCTTTATATCTTACTATTGCTTGACGCTTGATGGCGTTTTGATTTCGAAAATGTTTGGAGCCTTGGAGAGAAATTACTTAAAATTACCTCGGCTTGGTTTACTTGATTATGGCAAAGCAATCGAGGGCTATCTACCTGAGGGAAGGGATGCCTTCTTGGAGGACTTTCTAGCGAAAGTGGCTCGTATACACGTTACACATGGGTAAACCACGAAAACGCTGATGCAACCAACCCGTTCGGCAGGATTCAGACCCCGGACCCACCGACCAGTGCTCAGCGACTTTACTGCTAGGTCGCCCGTATGCTCAGAACATCATGGGTTGCAGATGCTCATCGGTCGATCGGGTTCTTTTCTTATTAATTTTCAACTGTGAGAAGAAGCTATTTCAAATGCAAACAATGCAAACAAATTCCCAAACAAAGCGATTATTTTTAGTGTAAAATTTCGTAACTGAGTTTATTTATGTTTTGACAAGTACGAATAAAAGTTAATAAAGTCTGTACCTTCAAATCTTTGAATAAGACTTACATTACTGCAAATTAATTAGCTCCATTTATAGATACCCTGGTGTGTTGTTTATGTTTGATTTTAACAGTAATGAAATTAATGTAAACTAGGAATTTAAATAACTAAAATCTTGAAATCTTCGCAACAAATACATAATTGAAATGTATTCGCGGGCCGCATAGAATTGCTTCGGAGGCCGCATACCGTCAGTAAGAGAAAACTGTAACATAGTATTTTTTTTATATATTTTTACAAAATCCAATGATAAACCTTTTCTTATTATTTTGCATCAGTAAAATAATAATAAATGACGTAGTTGAATTTTAATTGAATAAAAGATGTTGTGTTTATTTTAAGCATATGAAAAATATTTCCTTTGTTTAGTGTTATTGCATGAAAACGAAAAACAAGATTATGCGTTCATTTAAAATAATAATTTTGTTTAAATTTAAAAAAATATTATTGTTAATTATTGTTTGCTTTGTTTTAATCTTATTACCGTGTTGTTAATTATTATGTTCTTTTAGTATGCACGTGTGTTTCAGAAAAAATTGCAATATCAGTAATCTTCAGACTTCTTAATCTCACTTTAATTGAAATTCTTCCCATTTATACTGTATGAATTTTTAATGCATTTCATGTTATGTTATACCTAGTATACTTTTTATGCAGTACCTTCAGTTAATGGATTCTTTACTCGTTTGTTTATTTAATTGAACGTTTCTAGAATTTGATTCAATATGGGAAACTATTGCTTTTTTGATGGCTATCACCTCTTATTATGCATGCTAAAGAAATACTGTACAGACCATGCTCTTCTTTTTTAAAGCGCGTTAAAGTTACTTGCCTGAGGGAAACGATACTTTCGTGACGGGCTATCTCCTGTATTTACATTATACATTGAGAAAAAGAATGAAAATATCCATCTAACTTATCTGTTGGCCGATATTTGAACTCGGATAGAACTAGCATTGTTCCGCGGCGTTATCCACTCGGAGTGAGTCTAACTCTCGGGGCTCAGATACCGGGGAAAGCATTGATGTTACGAAGCGAACAGTATCTATGCAGCAACGGAGCACTTAAAATGCACGTTATGCCGATATCCTTTCGAGAGGTTGGGGCAGGGAAAGAATCAGAATTCCATCCGGAGTGGAAGCTTAGTAGTTAGCAAGAACCGGTAATACCATGTTTAGATGGAAGCATAGGTGCTGGCCCTGCCTGAACCTGTATCTACCGAGTTAGATTGGGTTTCACTTATAAAAATGTTTTCTAGATGGCAAAGTACTAGTGGAACAGTGTGAAATTCTCATCCACTTCCATTACATCATCAGTAAATCAATAACAAATTAAAGAACATGCTAATAGACCCTCCAAGAAAAATCTGAAGACATATAAGTTTAGCTTCCAAAGTTTTGCGTTAAATATTATTCTTCTAATCTCTGATCCCCAATAGTCACGATATGTCCTCGAGGAAGGATTTATCAGTTTCATAAGTGTTCTGGAACCTGATGAATTCCAAAATATCCGAGAAGTTGAGAATGGATTCATCAGCCTTATGTACAGTTTGATGGATTCATCAACTTTTTTAGCATTCTAGCAATCATTTCTTCATGATGCACCTCATAGTCTTCATATAAACAAAGTCAAAGCATGTCAGCAATGGTTTTCCGTACGATAGCCTCATGTTTCTGAGATGAAAACTTCAAAGCATATACGCAACAATTTTCCGTATAAGAAGCCATACAAGTCCTCAGATGATAGACACATAGTCATCGTGCGTTTTGCCATAATCAAATAAAACAATTCTCAGATAAACAAGTCAAAGCACGTCAACAATGGTTTTCGATACGATGTGCCTCATTTTCCTCGGATGAACAAATCAAAGCATGTCACTAATAGTTTTTTATATGATATGCTTCGGATTCTTCAAACGAACAAGTCAAAGCATGCACGCAGACATGATAAATTCAAAATGGAAACGATTGGCTACCACTCTAGGTTTCACCTATGAAAGCATTCTTCTCTTGAAGAGGATGGTAATCTCAACAAGACTTACAGTGCATAAAGTCAAAAGAATTAATAATAAGAAAGGTATACATATTAGAGAAGAAAACTGTACTTCTAATTTTAATTAATTCTGGTTGGAAGGATGTAGCAATAACTCAGCTTGTAAGGTTTTCCAATTTTTATTTTATTTATTTATTTTTAAGTATTGATCAATTAGGAAAAAAAAAAAGGGGGAAGGAAAGGAAGTAAATCGGAAAGGATTCAGATTTTTAAGGTATCACCAGGGGATTTGTTAAGGTTTCTATGCTCTCGTTGAGCATCGCAGGTTACCAATCTGCTTTTGGACTCACACTTGCTAACACAATCTTTTTAAAAATCTTTTTAGATTTATCATTAAGCATTACTTTCTTCTTATATACGCCATATAAAATTCAAGAGCAATTCAATATTCACAAAATATTTAAAAACAGCATACCTTTAGAATTCCCTTTAGAGTGTTAAAAGTGTGTTAAGACTTATTTTTTATATTCGCTGTATTATTTCTTTGCAAACTAGCTGTTCGAGCGGCTAACCGTCTAAAAGTTAGAAAAAGAAAAAAGTATACACTGATTTTAATGAATCGAACTACCGTCGTTTCATATAAATATTTAATATTGCTAATTAGACATCTCATGATTTAAATGCATTTTTATTTAAACCTATCAGATTTAAAAGTAGAAAAAATATTTTTAAGAATTACGTTTATTGCTTTTCAATCACTTGTTTGCTACTCAGTAATACAAAGATTAAATTTGAAAGTAAAATATCTTACGCTTTACTGAATGGCAAAACCTTGATGCATGGAGATGTAAGAATTTTATTTGAACGGCAAACTCTGCTTTGAAATAACCGAATTTGTGCATTAAAATTAAAAAAAAAATA